GCTGGCCTCCATGGCTGCAGCCAGATCCTTGGTGAATTCGTCCTCTTCCTCGTAGTCATATCCGATTTCAGACTCAAGGCCCGCGGAGGTGTTCAGCACAGTACCGTTATCGTATTCAGAGTCCCCCGACGCCTGTGCCATCAGGAGTTCCTCGACAACCTCATCTTCCTCATCACAAGAAATATCTGTCTCAAGGTTGGGAGGGGGCGCAGATCCAATATCACTGTTCAATTCCAGGATCGACCCAGGGTAACTCAGCATCCACAGTACTAGCTCTCGTTGGTCTTCAGAAAGAGAGAGAGAGAGAGAGAGAGAGCATAATGTGAGTCCAGAAATTGATTGGCCGCGCTCAACTGCGATGAGGTCAACGTCAACGTACCATCATCTCCCAGAGGCGTCTCCTGCGCGGAAGCGGTGACCACGGACTTGACAAACAGACTGACCATTTGGAGTGCCCGAAGTTGAATAGTGGTCTGGCGTTCCCCTGTTTCAGTGCTACCTTGCCCACCAATTTCAGAAGCCGAGGAGGCAGCGGTATTCGCTTGAAGAACCACATCCAACATCGGATCAGGGTAGAACGCCGTGAGGCCGTGCGCCGCCATGATTTGTTTGAGCAGATCATCCGACCTGCCCGATACCCCTTTCCCCATGTAGATATCCCGCAACAGATGCCGATGGTGTCGAAGAGGAGGAGGATGAAGAGGAGGAGGAGGAGGAGGAGGAGGAATAGTGAGGAGGAAGAGGAGGAAGAGGAGGAGGAAGAAGAACCTCGGAGGGAGCAGGAACATGGTCATTTTTTGCATCGGGCAAGCCTAGCGGCGTTGTTCTTTGGGCCGTGTTCGAGCGTCTTGTGGGTGTCTGGGGTTGTTCGGGGCTCCCCCGCGCGCCGCAAGGGTTGGCCGCATGACTTTATCCGAGGCCCTTGGAACGTGGCCGCGGGTCTCGACCTCTAATCTGCTCGGGCCGTCCTGGGGTCTCTGCTGGGGGCCTCTTCTTGGGCCGCCTTGGAGGCCCTCGGGGCGGGCCCGAGAGGCCTAAACCATGACGCAACTGTGTGTACTTGTGCGCCATACTGGGGCACTCGCTTTTTCGGGCTTGGGAGCGCCCAGGACGGTCTAAGCGGCCCCCAAAAGGGGCTGGCACGAACATGTCGAGCCCGTTGCTTCAGAATGGCCTCTGAGACCGGCAGCCGGTCCCCGATGCAGTCAACCCGTATAATAAAGACGCACGATAAGGATGCAAGGGCCTTGGAAGGTCGCCATGTCGACACCTTGCGAGCGGGGCGCGGCCAGCGAAAGCGGCCAAGGATGGGCCGAAGGGGCAGGATGCAATGGTAACCTTGGAAAGTTGTTCATCATTATTATGCGGGTTGACTGTAGGCCCCCAAGGGCCCCCAACTCCAAGGAGCCCCTTTGCCTCTTCAAGAGGCCCCCCCAGAGGCCCCGAACCGGCTTCCAAGAGACCCCCCACAAGGCCTCTCACGAGCGACGCGCAGGAGGCACCTAAGAGAGGCCTCTTGCCATCAACCGTGGGCACCCAGACATGCGATGTTCTGCTGTGTTCAATAACCCCGTGCCCCCGATAATACAGCATCCTCCCTCCTCAACCCCTGATCGTTCATTCTCCCGGGCCAAGACAGAGTTCGTCGGGGGAGAGGGGCGGCGAGGCCGAACTTCATGATCGCCGCGGAAAATGCGAATCGAAATTGCGATGCCCTTTTTTCTTTCCCTTGCGGGATCCCCGGAAGTCCCGACTCATTCCCCAGGGCCGGCTTTTCGTGACGGAAACCGTTTCTTGGCGGGTGGCCTGGCGAGGAGGGCACCCGGAGGCCGAATGCGGCCGCCGAAAACCACCACCGCCCGTCGCGATGCTTTGCGGCGAGCGGGGGGGGCTCTCTCAGAAGGCGACGGGACTTCTCAGAAGCCCTCGCGCCTTCTGAGGAGCACTCTGTGCCACAGCGGGGGGAGGTGTAGACAGCTTCGCAGAAGGCCGGGGGACTTCCGAGCCTTCTGAGAAGGCCCGCCCCTTAGAAGGCCTGCCCCTTCTCACTCCCCCTCGCTCGCCGCCGCGACGCGGGTCCCCACGGCGCGCGAGAGCAGCTCTGGGCACACGGTGGCGCGCGGGATCCCGCAGAGGACCCCCCAAGAAAGCGCACGCTGCACAGCGCGCCACCGCCGCATACGCTCGGGTGCCCGGCGCTCGGGCCCACACACACCCCGAGCTGTGCCCCCCCCCCGCGGCCTTGGACAGAGGCCTCCTGGATGGGCTCCGAATGCAGTCGAGTCGACCCGTACAGTAAGGATGCGCGGTAAGGATGCAAGGGCCTTGGGCGCCCACGTCGAGGCTTTTCGAGCGGGGCGCGGCCAGCGAAAGCGGACAAGGACGGGCCGAGGAGGCACAGATGCAGGGGCACCCTTGGGAAAATTGCCCACCCTTGCTGTGCTGGTTGACTGTAGATGGGGTCGGAGGATCGCGCCGCATCGCCCACACATTGGCGATGCATCGGCGACGTCGGGGACGCATCGGCGCCGTCGGCGTGGAGAAACTCGGGTTCCGCATCGAGCCGCATGGGCGATGCATTGGCGATGCGGCGCGATCCTCCGACCCCATCTACTCCGACCCCATCTAGGAGGCCTAGATGGAGGCGGCGGTCCCACTCCTCCGCGCTCTGCCCCGCCGCGGCCTTGCATTCCCCCCCGCCGCCTCCTGGAGACACCTGGTGGCCCGAGATTGAAGCCCAACCCCCTCGAATTACGACAAAATCCTGGCAAACGGTTGTTCGCTATTTTCGGCTTCTGACATCCCTTTACCGGGCCTCGGAGCCGTCAATAAACGAGTCAAGATGAAAAACCAGTTCCGGGAATTGGTCGACACCTCTGCGGGTCGACGTTATGACAAGTTCATGACGTCTGGGGCTTGGGAACATGGCGAAAAAATCGCGATCGGAGCCCTGGACCCCGTCTTTCTGCGGCATGTACAATGGAGGCTCGTCCGCAAGAAACCTTTCACAAGAAACCCAAAATCCTGAGACCCCAGGGCGTCCATGGATGTTCGGCGTGAGAACGCCACGCTTTCCATGGCAACACCATGGAAACCCAAGAAACCCAGGGCACCCTGGAGGCAAGCAGCGTGTTTCTTAGCATGGGCCCCCACCGTATTTCGGCCGGATTGATCCGTGATGGCCCCAGGGCCCTGGGCCGGGAGAACACGCCCAGCGTGCAAAAATGGCAGCGCCCAGGCCTCAGGGTCCGCCCATGCTGGGAGCCCAGACCTCCGACGTCACAACTTTTTCATGACATTGACCCCAACCCAGACATGACCGCGTCGTAAAAAAATCAGGGCGGCAAATTTTTCGTTATTTTCGGCCCGTGGGGGCCCTCGCCAGGCCCTGGGAGCGTCAAAAAACGACTCAGGATGAAAAACAGGCCCCGGGGAAAGGGTCGGGGCTTCCCGGGACGCCGTCCTGAAAAAATCAAGACGTCGCATGTCTGGGAAGTGGTCCCGACCCTTTCCCTGGGACCGTTTCGCATCCCCAGTCAGGTTTTGACGGTTCCGAGGCCCGGCGAGGGCCAACGGAAGCCGTCCGTTTCCTCCCCCCTCTTCCCACTCCCCCTCCTGTGCTGTTCAGGCGCCCTGTTCTGCTGCGCTGGCCGCCACGTTTTGCTGGTTTCTCCGCCTGTGCCCTACGTGGCCAGATAATCACCATCAACATCATCATCATCATCAGCATCATCACCATCATCATCATCACCATCATCAGCATCATCATCATCATCGTCATCATCATCGTCATCACCATCGTCAGCATCATCATCATCATCATCATCATCATCATCATCATCATCATCTTCATCATCGTCATCATCGTCGTTATCATCATCATCAGCATCATAATCATCAACATTGTCATCTCCATCACCACCATCTTCACCATCATCAGCACCATTACCATCACCATCGCAATCACCATCACCATCTTCGTCATCATCACTATCATCATCATTATCACCTTCATCATCACCATCACCCCCACTGTCATCACCATCACCACCACCATCATCACCACTATCCCCAACACCATCACAATAACCGTCACCATTTCTGACCACCACCATCATCATCACCACCATCATCATCGTCATCATCATCAAATCATTATCACCATGACCATCATCATCATCATCGTCATCATCGCCATCATACTGTCATGGTCACCATCATCATCACCAACATCATCGCAACCAGCAAAACCACCACCATCATCATCACCATCAACATCGTCATATTCATCATACTTATCATCATCACCATCACCATCATCATCATCATCGTCATCATCATCATCATCATCGTCATCATCATCACCATCATCAGCATGACCATCAGCATCATCAAGTAGAAGCTCGAAGGGCCACTATCCAGCCACCAAAACCTAGACGCCAATCGCCCAAATGTAATGTCCAGTGCTTCCTTTTGCGTGTACCCGTCGGTCGGAAGAAGTAGGTGGAACATGAAGTAGGAAGGCGCTGAAAGCAGATTGGGCTCACGCCCGCCCCCTGAAGAGGAGGGAAGAGGTAAAACCGCCCCGCTGGTCGGACGAAGTAGGCGGAGACATGAAGTGGGAAGGCGCTGAAAGCAGATTGGGCTCACGCCCCGCCCCCCGGAGGAGGTGGGAAGAGGTAGAATCGCTCGACCCTTGAAGTTGGACGGCGCCTCGTGCCTACTTTCAACGACCGATGGGTGCAATCTTGCCTTGACCTGACCCCCAGACCCCCAACGTCTTCATGACGTGACCCCCAGGAGCCTGGACCCCTTCCTGGGGACCGGGTTTTTATCCTGAACAATCTTGTGACAGTCCCAAGGCCCGGCGAGGGCCCTGGGAGGCCGAAAATAGAGCAAAAGCTCCCGCCGTGATTTTTTCACAGCGCGTGGGGGTCTGGGCCTGTGTGCGCAAGGGCAGCAGGGGGTGGAACTGCCGGCAGCGGGGGCGGCTGGCGGGCCGCCGCGCGGCCGCGGTGCACTGGGAAGGGCAGCCAGACGTCCAGGCACACGGCCTGCGGGGGCGATGGGCGGCGGGGCGGTGAGTGGGCAACGACGTGGGGGGACTGGCACTTGGGGGGGGAACATCGATGCTCCTCCTCCTCCTCCTCCTCCTCCTCCTCCTCGATCGGTCTCTTCCTCCTCCTCGATCCTCGATCCTCGATCCTCGATCCTCCTCCTCCTCCTCCGCCCTCCTCGGTCCTCGATGCTCCTGCACCAGGGGGGGGGGGAAACATTGGGCTGGAATCGGCGGTAGATCGCCGATAGATCGGCGCTAGGCCCTGACTAGTGCATCCGCACGCTCCTTTGCTGGGTGGGGCTATCGGGCCACCATCGGCGATCCATGGGCGATTAGAGATCGATGTATCCCCCCCCCCCCTGTGCCTCTCCCCCCCTCTCGTTGCTCCTGAGGCGGGGGGAGCTTGGCGGTGCGCACCTTGACGGTCCCCTGGCCCAGCGAGGGCCCCTGGAGGTCGACAACGGGCAAACACGTGGCGCAGTTTTTTTGCTGGTATTAATAGTAGTAGTAGTAGTAGTAGTAGTAGTAGTAGTAGTAGTAGTAGTAGTAGTAGTAGTAGTAGTAGTAGTAGTAGTAGTAGTAGTAGTAGTAGTAGTAGTAGTAGTAGTAATATTAGTAGTAGTAGTAGTAGTAGTAGTAGTAGTAGTAGTAGTAGTAGTAGTAGTAGTAGTAGTGGTGGTGGTAGTAGTAGTAGTAGTAGTAGTCGTAGTCGTAGTCGTAGTCGTACTAATAGTAGTAGTAGTAGTAGTAGTAGTAGTAGTAGTAGTAGTAGTAATATTAGTAGTAGTAGTAGTAGTAGTAGTAGTAGTAGTGAGTAGTAGTAGTGGTAGTAGCAGTAGTAGTAGCAGTAGTAGTAGTAGTGGTGGTTGCTGCTGTTGTTGTGGTTGTTGCCGTTTTTGTTGTTCTTCGTCTTCTTCTTCTTCTTGTTGCCGCTGTTGTTATGGTTGCTGCTGCTGCGTTTTTTTGTTGAAAAAACAACCAAACAATCTCTCTCTCTCTCTCTCTCTGTTAGCAGACGAGCCCGGCCGGGAAGAATGCAGTTGCCTGAACTCGGCCAGGCAGCCTTGGGCTGGCTGAGCTCGGCCAGGCTGAATTCGGCCAGGCTGAAATCGGCCAGGCTGGAATCGGCCAAGCTGAACTCGGCCGAGTCCAGCCTGGCCGACTTTAGCCTCGTCGAGTCTTCCCATTACCCCCCCCCTCAGCGCGTCCCTCCCTCCCCAGACATGCGATGTCCTGATTCTTTCGATACGGGATCACCAGACGTCTCGACCCATTCCACAGGGCTGGTTTTTCATTATCCCGAGCGGTTTTTTGACGGTCCTGGGGCCCAGCGGGGGCCTCTGAAGGCCGAAGACGGCCGAAAACCTGCCGCCGTGATGCTTTCACGACGCGAGCATGTCTGGGGAAGGGGATGGGCAACGAGGTATGGAAAAAGGAGGACGACGTGGCTGAGAGAGGGGATTGAAGAGGAAGGGGCAAAGATGGACGGCGCACATCGGCTGCCGACGCGCTGGTGAGGTCTGTCCCGGTCGCTCCGACTGCCGCGCAACAGTGCTGTGCGGCAGCGCACGGCAGCCCCTGCGGCCCAAGCCTGGGCCACCCGCGCCTGGACCTCTGTGGGGATCTTCCCAACCGTGGTCTGGCCCACTCCCGGCAGCATCCCCGCCACGCCGAGGAGGTCGCAGCGGCGTCTGCGCAGCGCTTCAACCACGAGGCTGGCATGCAGCTTGGCGCGCTCGGATGACAACTTCGCCACGACCTCTGAGGCTTCCGCTCCGCAACAGGAGGTACGACCGCACTTCCTCACACTTCCCGCTCCCCCCCGCCCCCCGCGCGTGCGCACGCCAGGGGCATCGAATGTGGTCTCCAAGCAGCTGAGGGAGCGCGATCTACTCTCGCTTGACTGGAAACATGTCCCCCCCCCCCCCCCCTTCCTCCGGGAAACCACGGAGAAGGGGGAAGGCGTCCCCCCAGCCAGGAAACCGCAAGGTCCCCCCCGGCCCGTGTGGGGGCACCGCCCTGGCCCGGAAACCTGGGGGGAGGCACAGAAGCCCCCCCCCCCGTTCGATGAGGGGTGTACAGACTCCCCCGCCCGGTTCGGGCCGCGAACTGGAGGGGTGGGTGGGGAACGATCCCCTCTCGGACACGATGTTTGGCTTTGTTTGAGCTTTGGTTGAGCCTTGTTTGAGCTTTGTTTGAGCTTTGTTGGAGCTTCATTGTCGCTTTGGTTGAGCTTTGTTGGAGCTTTGTTTGATCTTCGTTTGGGCTTTGTTTGAGCGTCGTTTGAGCTCTGGTTAAACTTTGTTTGAGCTTTGTTTGAGCTTTGTTCGAGCTTTGTTCAACCTGTGCTTGATCTTTGCTTGATCTTTGCTTGAGCTGTGTTTGAGCTGCTTTTGAACTTTGATTGAATTACGTTCGATCTTTGATTGAGCTTTGTCGATCTTTATTTGAGCTCTATTGGAGCTTTGTTCAACCTGTGTTTGAGATTTGTTGGACCTGTCTTTGAGCTTTGTTTGAGCTTTGATTGAATTCTGTTTGAGCTTTGGTTGAGCTTGGTTCGAGCTTTGTTCAAGCTTTGTTTGAGCTTTGCTTGAGCTTCGTTTGAATTTTGTTTTATCGTTGTTTGAGCTTTGTTTGATCTTTGGTTGAGCTTCGTCTGAGCTTTGGTGGAGCTTTATTCGAACCTTGTTGGAGCTATGCTTGAATTTCGTTTAAGTTTTTCGCAGCGTTTGAACATTTTTGAGCTTTGTTTGAGCTTTGTGCGAGATTTGTTCGAGCTTCGTTTGAACATTATTGCTGGGCTCGGTTACGGCATCCGTGCCTGTGCAGCAATCGGCACCTGGATGTTGACTGGGGCACGGTCTGGCGGCAGCAGCAGAGCCGCCGGGGCTAGACAGCTGTCAGAGGGCAGGGAGGCAAGCGGCACAGCGAGGCGACCTTGCCCGCGGGAGACCAGTGGTGATGGAGGGCCAATGGACAGCAGGGTACCCTGTGGGCACTCTCGTCGCAATCGGCACCTACGACGGCGAGTGGTCACCCAACCCAAGTGACCCGCGCACATTCCCCACCTGTCTGCGCGCCAATCAGGTGCTCCCGCCTACCCGGCTACGACGGCGACCGCGGTGTGCCTTCCAACACAGGGGGCGCCCGCACCACTCTTGCGCCTGCCTGCGCACAAGTCGGGTGCTTCCCGTGATGCTTGGCTCCGACGTCGACGACCGCGGTGCGCCTCCCAACCCAGGGAGGATACCGCCCCTTGCTCTTCCACCTGTCTGCGCACCAGTTGGGTGCTTCCCCGTTGCCCACCTGCCTGCGCACCGATCGGGTGCTTTCCCTGCCGCGCCCCGCCCGTCCTGGGCGCGCCTGCCTCTCGGGCCCCCCGCGCACCGTCCAACCCCCAGGCGGTGAGCGGCACGGCCCGTCTGGCTCCCCTCCGCTGCTCGGCCTCCTGGTCCCAGCATCAGGTCGGGCATGTCCCCCCTACAGGCGGATCTTGGACGGAAAATATCTTCGGTCAAAAAAAAAACTCCCAAATCGTCCCCAGACAACTGTTAGCTATTTTCGAACATTCCGCCTGTAGAGGGACACGCCCGACTTAATCCCAGCAGCTCCCCGCCCTGCGGTGCGCCATCCTCCCTGATGGCGTGCCGCCTCTGGCATGTTCGCGCCCCATGGCCGCTTGCCGTCTTCCGCCCGCTCCCTGGCTCTACCCACCCCGGCAGTCGCCACACCCTGCCCCCCGCCTCTCGCCGAGCCGCGCGCTGGGCCGCGTCTTGCTGGTGGCTGTTCCCGCAGCCCCAGCGCTTCGCAGGTGGTCCTGCCCCTGTCTGCAGCTACCGCTGCCCCACTTGGGGGTTTCCGCCGTTGCGGTGGTTCACCTCCCGCTTGTGTCTCCCAGCCCCGGGCCCATGCCCATGCTACCTGGCGCGCGGCACGGCCCTCCTCTGGGTGTGCGGGGTGCCCCCATCTTCCCCCGCCCCCTGGTGTTTGCCTTCCTCGGTGCCCCCTCGGACGGCACCCGTTGCGGCCCGCCCCCCCCCCTCGTGGGAGCCCCGCCCAAGCGTCTCTTGCACAGGGCTGGCGTTCGCTTCTCCGCCGTTTCCCCCCCTGCACCGCGCCCTCCCGCGGCTTGCTGCCTGGCTGCCCAGTCGCGCCTCGCCACTGGCCCGCCCGCCGCTCTCCGCCTTGGGGCCGCTCTCGCAGCTGCAGCGCCAGCGCACTGCGCCCCTGGCCCGCCGCCGGTCCCCACGCCGCTGCCTCCCCCCCGCCTGGCGCCCCGGCTCTCCGGCCGCCCGCTGCTCCCCCTCCCCCACTTGCTGGCCTCTTCTCGTCCCAGATCCATTCCTGATGGCCCGGGGCCCGATGTCAGGGCCCCCCAGGAGCCCGAAACGGAAGAACGCCGCCAGGATTGAAAACAGGGCATCGTCGGAGCTCTGGGAGCGAGAAAAACGACAGCTACACAGCCAGAAGCTCTCGGAGGTCGGCGCGTGTCTTGGATCGGCGCTGGATCCCCTGGGGCGGGGCCGTAGGCGCCGCCAGGGGGCTTCAGCGCTTATCCAAGCCATCTACGAGGATACGTTGCGGGCATTGGATAAGGAACCCTTAGTCCAAGAATCCAGGGTCTGGAAGCCGGTGGAATTCCAATCGTGGATCGGCCATGGATATCACCGCCGCCCTCATTGGATAAGGAATCCTCCAGGGTCTGGCGCCTCCTGGGACTATTCCTCAGCAAACGCCTCCACCGTATGTGAACGATCATGCGTACGCAATTGTTCTGCCTCGAAATAATCAGCGGGTGCCGCCAGCCGCAGTCGAGAAGCCATGCCGAGATTGCAAAGCCCAAATCGTCGGAGGTCTGGGCTTCCAGGCCACCACTCCGGCCTCCGGCGGCCGCTCGGCGCGGTGCTGGCGCGCTCTCGGCGAGGCGCAGCTGCTGGAACGCATCCCAGGGCGAGAAGACCTCCATGTAGCCAAGGATTAGGTCAGGCATGTCCCCCTACAGGCAGATTTTGGACGAAACATCGAAGATACCACAATATTGCAAAACAAATATCAAACACATTATCGAAAAATCGTTCCAGACTATCTTTGTTTCTTTTTGTGTATTCCTCCTGTAGAGGGACATGCCCGCCTTGAGCGCGGTGCTGGCGCGCTCTCGGCGAGGCGCAGCTGCGGGAATGCATCCTGGGGCGAGAAGACCTCCCTGGTTGTGGATACCATGACACTGGACACTCTAGCAGTCCTACCATAAAACTAAACTAAACAGATGTTATACAAATGCTCAAACAATGTTTTAACATGTTATCTCTTTTTACCTAACAGCGAAGACTGATATATTTCTAATAGGGTAAAAAGAGAGCATCAAGACTCCCCAAGGGGGTCTGGGCGGGATCCGGCGATCTGCCGGCGCTCTGCCGCCGCCACCCAAATCGCCTAAGACATCCTCGCAAAATCGCTCTTGGCGCTCCCAGAACTCCATTCCCGGGCCACATTCTGAATGCCCAGAGCCAACTGTAGGCCACTTCGTGCTCTTCGAGTTCCCAGAGCTCCATTCCTGGGCCACATTTTGAATGCCCGGAGCCAACTGTAGGCCACTTCGTGCTCTTCGAGTTCCCAGAACTCCATTCCCGGGCCAAATTTTGAATGCCCGGAGCCAACTGTAGGCCACTTCGTGCTCTTCCACTTCCCAGAACTCCATTCCTGGGCATGATTTTGAATGCCCGGAGCCAACTGTAGGCCACTTCGTGCTTCGAGTTCCCAGAATCCATTCCCGGGCCACATGCTGAGGCAATGCTGAGGCAGGCTGAGGCTGACTGAGGCAGGCTGAGGCTGAGGCTTGAGGCTGAGGCAGGCTGAGGCTGAGGCAGGCTGAGGCTGAGGCAGGCTGAAGGCTGAGGCTGAGGCTGAAGCAGGCTGAGGCTGAGGCTGAGGCAGGCTGAGGCTGAGGCTGAGGCAGGCTGATGCTGAGGCAGGCTGAGGCTGAGGCTGAGGCTGATGCAGGCTGAGGCTGAGGCAGCCTGAGGCTGAGGCCGAGGCTGAAGGCAGACTGAGGCTGAGGCTGAAGCAGGCTGAGGCTGAGGCTGAGGCAGGCTGAGGCTGAGGCTGAGGCAGGCTGAGGCTGAGGCTGAGGCTGAGGCTGAGGCTGATGCAGGCTGAGGCTGAGGCAGGCTGAGGCTGAGGCCGAGGCTGAAGGCAGACTGAGGCTGAGGCTGAAGCAGGCTGAGGCTGAGGCTGAGGCAGGCTGAGGCTGAGGCTGAGGCTGAGGCTGAGGCTGAGCTGAGGCTGAGGCTGAGGCTGAGGCTGAGGCTGAGGCTGAGGGCTGAGGCTGAGGCAGGCTGAGGCTGAGGCCGAGGCTGAAGGCAGACTGAGGCTGAGGCTGAAGCAGGCTGAGGCTGAGGCTGAGGCAGGCTGAGGCTGAGGCTGAGGCAGGCTGAGGCTGAGGCAGGCTGAGGCTGAGGCTGAGGCTGAGGGCTGAGGCTGAGGCAGGCTGAGGCTGAGGCTGAGGCTGAGGCTGAAGGCAGGCTGGCTGAGGCCGAGGCTGAGGCTGAGGCTGAGGCTGAGCAGGCTGAGGCTGAGGCTGAGGCAGGCTGAGGCTGAGGCTGAGGCAGGCTGATGCTGAGGCAGGCTGAGGCTGAGGCTGAGGCTGATGCAGGCTGAGGCTGAGGCAGGCTGAGGCTGAGGCCGAGGCTGAAGGCAGACTGAGGCTGAGGCTGAAGCAGGCTGAGGCTGAGGCTGAGGCAGGCTGAGGCTGAGGCTGAGGCAGGCTGATGCTGAGGCAGGCTGAGGCTGAGGCTGAGGCTGATGCAGGCTGAGGCTGAGGCAGGCTGAGGCTGAGGCCGAGGCTGAAGGCAGACTGATGTTGAGGCTGAAGCAGCTGAGGCTGAGGCTGAGGCTGAGGCTGAGGCTGAGGCAGGCTGAGGCTGAGGCTGAGGCAGGCTGAGGCTGAGGCTGTGACTGAGGCTGACTGCGACTGCCGTTGCCACTGCGACTGTCATCGCGAATGCGACTACGACTGCGAGAACAGCAGAATTCTACAACAGGATTCTCATCTGAATCTTAAGGGGAATGCTTCCAGATATGCTCGTACTCATCGCTGTTAGGTTGCGTTGCCGGGCTAATTTAAGCTATACTCGACACCTGGGAATTATTTGGCAACATGCTCCCTCTCCATTGATCGTCGTCCACAACTCCATGGAGCCAAGGAGGGCTTCGCGAAAGCTTGCGGGCCGTCGCGGCAGCGCGCCCGGACCGCACACAAAACCACATCCGTCAGACCCAGCACTCCACGGCGTCGGTGTTCACCCAGAGATCCCAGCGCTACGGTTAAGTCGGGCATGTCCCTCTACAGGAGGAATGTCCAAACGCAGTCAAAGAATCAGATGGGGACGCTTTTTCGATAATCTTTCGACTGTGTTTGGGCATTTCTGGGGGCCTCTTTTTTCCTTTTGTCTTTTGTTTAAGCATGTTCGTCCAAAATCCGCCTGGAAGGAGACATGCCCGACCTAATGCTACTGGCGCTTTCGCCCCTTCTCGGGCCCCGGGGGGACCCTCGCAGAGATCCAACCGTCTCGAGACGCGGCACAGAGAGGTGTGGCCTGGAGCCCTGGCGTGACTTCTCACGATGCTGCATTTTCTGTTCGCCACGTCGGGTCTTGGGGCAGCAGATCCCCGTCGCCGTGGTCGTCTTGGTCGTCGTCGTCGTCCTCCTCCTCCTCCTCCTCCTCCACTTCCTCCTCCCCGTCATCGTCGTCGTCGTCGTCGCCGTCGTCGTTCGTCGTCGTCGTCGTCGTCGTCGTCGTCGTCGTCGTCGTCGTCGTCGTCGTCGTCGTCGTCGTCGTCGTCGTCACCGTCGTCGTCGTCGTCGTCGCCGTCGTCGTCGTCGTCGTCGTCGTCGTCGTCGTCGTCGTCACCGTCATCGTCATCGTCATCGTCGTCGTCGTCGTCGTGGTCGTGGTCGTGGTCGTGGTCGTGGTCGTGGTCGTGGTCGTCGTCGTCGTCGTCGTCGATCCCTGGACTGGATTTCCATCCCGAGCAGTTTTGCGACGGCCGCGGGGCGCAGCGAGGGCCCTCACAGGCCGAACAACATCGGCAACAAAACCTTCCGTCGTGATTTTTCGCCACGGGAGCAAGTGAGCGACGAAAAGAAACGGGACTTTCGCGAGACGACGCAGCGACCGCATGCCGCGGCTTACGCGGGCCGCCAGCGCGGCACGCTTTCTTGGAGACGAGGGCGCTTACGCACGACCTTACGCGGGCATCTTGCGCGCCAACGCCGGCGAAGACGACCCCGCTTTCCTCCGTCGCTCAGGTGGCGGGAAAACCAGCAAATATCAATACCGCTGCTCTCCTGGGGTGCGTTCTGACCAGAATTTCGAAGCGAGCGCGATGGCAACGAGGGCCTCACAGGAGGCCCCGAAACGGCGAAAGCGAGGCATGGGTGGCGGTATTAGTTCCTCCCCTCCCCCGACATCCGACGCCTCGATTTCTGTCGAGATACAGGCGCCCGTCCTCTCGACCACGAGCCCCGGACCAGTTCTTCATCCCGAGCTGGTTCTTGACGGTCCCGAGGCTCGGCAAAGGGCCCAGAATCGGATCGATAACACGGATCGGCGATCGGAATGAATCGGATCGGCAGGAATCGGCAGCGAGTCGGGATAAGTCGAATCGGCGGAAATCGGAAGAATAGCATGCCTCCATTGAGAAACCGGAGTCCAAATCGGAATCCCATGTCGAACCGAATCGGAATCGGAAGCCATCGGAATCGAATCGAATCGGTGGAATCGAAAAGAGCCCTGGCCAGGCCCTGTAAGGGCCCCGAGAAGCCGACAACGAGGAAAACCCTCCGCCTCGATTCTGTACGCGACGCCGGACGCCTGGGTCTGCGGAGGTGGGGGGATTTGCCATCGCTCGGACGCCCGTTCCCCGCACCTTTTTTCGATTTCGCGCGAGCTTTTTTGGCCAGATGATGGAGGAGGAGGAGGAGGAGGAGGAGGAGGAGGAGGAGGAGGAGGAGGAGATCCAGGATGCTTCTCGATGGTCCTCGCCGAGAAAGAACTGCACACGTCCGAGCGATGCCAGACAGGTCTGTGGGGAGAGCCGCACGGGCCGCGCTGGCGGTGGGCGGCGCGCGCGCCAGCGCCGAGAGCAGCGGGGCCAGCCACGAGAGCGCGGCCTCCATGCTGCGGAGCTCCTCCTCCTGGCGGGGCGTGAGGTACCCGGACCCCCCCCCCCCCGCGTTGTGAAAGGATCGCGACGGGGAATTTTTCGCTGTCTTCGGTCTCTGGGGGCCCCGTCTGGGCCTCAGGACTGTCAAACAACGACTCCGCACGACACACTGGTCCCTGGGAGGGGATACAGACCTCTGGGGGTCGACGTTGTGAAAAAATCAGGATGGGCCCCAAAGGCCCCCTTCCAGGCCCCAGAGGGCCCCTTCGCGTGCCCTTAGAGAGCTCCGTATTTTCTATGCAGCCCGCTCATCGCTCTCCCCATGACGCGCCCTCCGATCCTGGCGGGGCGCGCCGCGCCCGGGCCCGAGGTCGGCCGGCAGGAGAGCCCCCCCACAGGCCGATCTCCCGCCCGCCGCCAGCATTAGGTCGGGCACGTCCCTCACACAGACGAATTTTGGACGAAAAAATGCTTTTGTCAACACCACCCCAAATGGTCAAAAATAGGTAATAACAGATCGTCCTCAGACTATTTTTTTGACCATGTTTGAAGATTCCTCCTGTAGGGGGACGTGCCCGACTTCAGGCCAGCATCCCTCAGCCTCTCCATCCCCCCAGCCCTGGCACCGCCTCGGGGTTCTGTAGGAGAAAAGCAACGGGCACAAGCGTGACACTATCGTTGGGTCGGGCGCTTCCCCCTGCAGGCGGATTTTGGACGAAAAATAAGACATACAACAAAAATCGGAGGTGAGGGGGTGAGATCGAAGTGGAACGGAGAGCCCCCCACCGGAAAATCGGTTTCGGTTTCGTGTCGTGCGTGCGGGCGAGGCGAAGCTGCGTGGGCGGGCGAGAGGAATTCACTCTGCTGTCGCTAAGGGTCCACAAACACAAATGTTTCCACCCCCCGGCCTTGTCAAGCGGTGGCGCGCATTGTCCCGTCGGTGGCTCGCCGTTGTCCCGTCGGTGTCCCGTAGGTGTCCCGCCGGTGTCCTGTCGTGAGATCGATAGTGAGATCGACTGTGAGACCGATCGTGAGATCGATAGTGAGATCGATAGTGAGATCGATAGTGAGATCGATAGTGAGACCGAATGTGAGATCGATTGTGATATCGATTGTGATATCGATTGAGATCGATAGTGAGACCGAATGTGAGATCGATAGTGAGATCGATAGTGAGATATATTGTGAGATCTATAGCCTGATAGTGGGATCGATAGTGGGATCGATGGTGAGATCGATAGTGAGATCGATTGTGAGACCGAATGTGAGACCGAATGTTGGATCGATAGTGAGATCGATAGTGAGATCGATAGTGAGGTCGATCGTGAAATTGATAGTGGCACCGAAAGTGAGATCGATTGTGAGATCGAATGTGAGATCGATAGTGGGATCGATAGTGAGATCGATTGTGAGATCAATTGTGAGATCGATAGTTAGATCGATTGTGAGATCGATAGTGAGACCGATTATGAGATCGATTGAAAGATCGGTTGTGAGACCGATTGTGAGATCGATTGTGATATTGATTGTGATATCGATCGTCAGTTCCATAGTGAGACCGAATGTGAGATCGATAGTGAGATCGATAGTGAAATCGATTGTGGGGTCGATGGTAAGATCGATTGTGAGATCGATGGTGAGATCGATAGTGCGGTCGATAGTGAGATCGATAGTGAGACCGAATGTGGGATCGATGGTGAGATCGATAATGAGATCGATAATGAAACCGAATGTGAGACCGAATGTGCGATCGATTGTGAGATCGATAGTGAAACGGAATGTGAGATCGATCGTGATATCGATAGTGAGATCGACTGACTCAGATCGATCATGAGATCGGTTGTGAGACCGATTGTGACATCGACAGTGAGATCGATAGTGAGATCGATCCAGTGATATCGATAGTGAGATCGATAGTGGGATCGATCGCGAGATGTATTGAGTGACACGTTGGTTCCTCCTCCCCCCTCACCTCCTTGTCACCCGAAGGGTGGTCGTATAGGTAATCAAGTATAAAAAATCATCCCCAGACAATTTTTTGACTATTTTTGAAGCTTCCTCCTGTAGAGGGGCAGGCCCGACTTGAAACTATCGGAGGCCGGCCGGGCAGGAGAGCCCCACAGGAGGGGAGGGGGAGGCCTCCAGTTCTCCGGCGACGTGGTCGAAGCACGGCCGCCAGGTCGCGGGCTGAGAACACGGGCACCTGGCCGAAGGCCGAAAGGCCCTATAGAGATGCGCCCTGAACGAAGAACGCCGCAAGACGGAGAGCTCGAGCCCTAAGTGAACGGGCGAAATGGGTATAACATACACTCTTTCGCTGTCGGTGGCGCCTGTCCCAGGGCGGCTGGAAAGTTTATACCCTTACGGTGGCAGCGTAGGGGTAGAAGCTTTCCAGCCGCCCAGGGGCAGGCGTCCCCGACGGCGGAAACAAATATTTTATACCGTTCTTCGCCCGCTGACAAATGCAAACCCGAGGCTGCTCCTTTCAACCTCAGACCACCTCCTCACGCTGCGAAAAAAACGACAACACACACACGACGGATGTGGTTTGCCGAACTTCGGCCTCTGGGAGCCCTTGCAGGCCCACAGGACCGTCAGAAAACGACCCCGGACGAAAAACCAGTCCCAGGGAAGGGGTCCAGACCTCCAGGGGCCCACGCTGCGAACAAAATCGCGTCGGAGATCTGGATCCGACGACTTCGACGTGGAGGAGGAGGAGGAGGAGGACCTCTTGACTTCGAGAGCTTTGACTTGGAGGGGGGGGGAGGAGGAGGAGGAGGAGGAGGAGGAGGAGGAGGAGGAGGAGGAGGAGGCGGCGGCGGCGAAGCGGTAACGGGCCGAGTCGAGCGTAACTCCGACAAGACAGCAATCGAAATGAATTTCGAATTGTGCGACCTACCGTGCGCTAGTAGAACTGCGAGTGCAGGCCCCCACGGCGGGAGCCCCGATTGATTGATCGCTCGACCAAGGCTGAACACGAGGCGAATTCGAGCACACCGCACTCCCTGCAGCGAGCACCTAGTAGACGGAACCGCCAGGGCCAGAACCCGTCAACTAAGAGACCTGAAGCAGGAAGGACGACGGCCCATCTATCCAAAACTCGGCCAGGAGTCCCACGGCCCGAAAGCGAGACTACCTGGAGGGTCCACCAGTGACCATTCGAACTAACTCCTTAAAACTGTTCTGTCTCGGGGCGGAGGGGGGAGGAGGAAGGGGAGCGGCAGGTCGGGACGGTGCCTGGCTCTCGAACTCGCTCTCAGAGGCAGCCAGGAGGAGGAGGAGGAGGAGGAGGAAGAGGAGGAGGACTTCGATCACTTTTCAACCAGGGCGTCTTCTTGACTTCGAGAGCTGTGCACCCTGCGCGGGTCCTGGCCAGGCTCGTCCCGAGCCCAGGACTGGCTGGCTTCTGACCAGGGGAGGCATAGGATTAGGTCGGGCATGTCCTCTTGCAGGCGGATCTTGGACGAAATATAGAAATATTTAAAAGACCATCAAACGATATACCACACATACAAAAAGAACGGCCCCAGAAAATATTCAAATTATTTTGAACATTCCTCCTGTAGATAGGGACAAGCCCGACCCAAGCATAGGACCCGATCCTGGGCCCGGGATGGGTCTGGCCAGGCTTGGTGCCCGTGCAGAGCTCAGATCGCCCGATCTCCCGGTCGCTGCCAGTGTCCCTCAGCCTCTCCGCCCCCCCCAGCCGTGGCAGCGCCTCGGGGCTCGTAGAAGAAACGCGATGGGCACAAACATGGAACTCTCGGAGGTCGGCGCGGATTTCTTGGATCGGAGCTGGACCCACCCCCTCTGTCGCGCAGAGTCCGCGCTCCTCCTCCTCTCCTCCTCCTCCTCCTCCTCCTCCGCCACCTGCCGTCGGGCCAAGGTATTTTTTAAGGCCCTACCACCGCGGCCAAGCGGTGCTGCCTGGGCGGCCTGTGGCACCTCCAGGTGGAGTCGGCGAGAAGGGTTCGTCCGTTACCGTTGTCCGTTCCTCTCCCCCTGTTGGGGTGCGACAAAACGGCAACGCGTGGTGCTGCGGTGGTGAAGAAAAATCCTTTTTTTCCTCGAAGCTGAAACGGCTGAAACGGCGATTGCGCAAAGCAAAGAGTAAGAGTAAAAAAGATATAATACAGGAGAGTAGAGAGCATAGATGGGGAGTAACTTCAACACCCCTCCTAACATGAAACGGGTGACTGTATACTACCAGTGAAATGTTCTATACGCTCCTAATCATCTCTGTGGTTCAGAACCTCCCACGGGGCTCGCCGCGAGACCGTTCTTACTGTACAACACTAACATACACGATCTATTACTTAGATGAGCTCCTTCTCGTTTCACACATCATCCGTCTGAGCTAGAAGGTCCTCCTCCCCGTAGCCGCCCAAACCGTACGAAACCTTCAACGCTTTTGGATGACGTCCGGCCTCCTCCTTGAATCCCGTGCCTCCCATAAAACGTACTATCGAAGCCTCCTCGACGTCTTTGGTCCCAAGATCAGCCAAGTTAGTTTTACCGTCTATTTTGTGCATCTGGATCTTCCCCTCTCCTACCTGGTGCTGTATCCACGACAGTGCCGTGTTCAAATGTCGCACCTTCCCGAGACCGATCCGGGAAGCGATCCCCTTGGAAGCTGTGCTGTCTGTCCGCAGACGGATCCGCAGCTCGTCGCCGAAGTCCCGGGCCATGGGCTGTATGCCAAGAGAATGGCTCCCTCCTTTGACGTTCGCTACAAATTCCGCCTCTCCTGAGGACAGAGCTGGACTCGTCTGTGTAGCAGTCGAACATCGTAGGCAATGATAGCCGATCATCACTACCGTGCAGCTCACAGACTTCCGGTATGTTGGGTCTGACGCCCAATCAGAATCTGTCCATGCGTCAACATGCCCCACAGGCTCCTGCATCTGGAACTGCTGAACCCACTGGGGGTGGCCCTTCAGGTAGCGCACCGCGCGCTTGAGCCGGTTCCATTTACCCACAGTGGGCTTACTCATCCCACCGGCCAGTCGATTTGCAGAAAACTGTAGGTGCGGCAGATCTGCCGCAAGGTACGCTATACGCATAATACATGACCTGTAGAAACTCACGGAGCTATCCGCGAGCGGCTATTCCGAGTGGTAATCGCCGCGCTTTTCGCCTGGCGTGCCCACTGCTTTGACCCTGCTGCCGGTCAGTCCAAGCTGGTCTACTAGAAGATCCACGTGTCGAGGGTCAGGCTCGTAAGTGGCTGTCGGCGCACCGTCCTTTGTGCAGAAATCAACCAGACGGTTCAGAATGGTGATGTGCGTGTTGTCACCATCTTCAAAACCAAGCATACCTCTCTTCTTAAGAATCATGTGCTTGCCGATTTCGTCAAACAAGCTATTCATGTGGTCTACTTCACCTATGAACACAAGATCGTCTCCGTGCCTCCACCCAATTGACAGTTTGTTCCTGTGTCTGTACAAACATGGGTCTGACACGCCAACGTCGTAGCCAAGCTTGGTAATGATGTCGTTAAAGAATATGTCCCATTGGTTCGGTGTGTCGCGCGTGCCGTGAATGGTGCGAAGAAGCTTTCCGACCATCCCTGGGGAAGCATCCTCTTCCGGGAGGCGGATGTACATCTCCCGCGCACACGGCGCATGGAAATGAGCTTTGCTCACATCCATCACCAACATCTTCAGACGAACCGGGGCGCCTCGCACCCGCCTCGTGGTTGTCATGAAATGGAACAGATATTTAAGGCTCTCTAGTGGTGGCGTCGCCGCAAACGTGCCTTGAATGAACGGGTCTTGCCACTTGTACTCCCTGCCGACCAGCCGGGAGCGAACCTCCAAATTATCATCATCACCTTTGTTGACATCACGCCAACGCACAGAAACCATGTTCTTGCCTTTCGCCTGTGCTGCTGGTACCTTTTCGTGCACTGGAAAACCGCGTAGGGAATCCAACTCGGCGGCTCTCGCTTTCCGTGCCAGCGGCGTTGGTAGGAGCTTTCCAAAGACATCGTCGTAAAACTTCGCCCGGTCTTCCTCTGGATACTCTGCGGGGTCGTGGCCTGCGACCCCCAGCTCGAGGGGGGACAGCGACAACTTCCCGTCTTCCTGGAGCTGCCGCCGGAGGCCGCGCAGCACCGCGCTTACCGGCGCGGGCGTGCGCCCTCCTTTCTCTGCAGCCTCGGAACGCGTTCTGTCCCAAAACTTGCGCGTCGCAAGCTCCTCGGCGATGCCGGCCAGCTCCCTGCGCCACCAGCTCGCGCCCGCCTCCTTTGGTGGCGATGGCTTGCCCCATCCCACGCTCAGTGCTCACCCAGAACGCATCTGGCTGCTCCAACACCTCCTGCGCGCGCGGCTCCTGCAGAGACGCCGCGCCGCCCCGGTGCTCGTGGGGCATGTACCGACCAGTGTCGATTTGCTTCCTGTACAGCGGACAGCACGCCCGGAATTGCTGCCTGCTGCCTGCCCCGCGCGCGTCCCGCGCGCCTGCGCCAGCATCGTCTCTGCGCTGCCGGCTCCAGGGAGGGCCATCGGTGCCCCCCACTAGCAGGCATGGCCGGATCTGCTCCTGCATTTCGTCGGCCTTCTGCTCTGGCTCTGGGGCCTCCAAGTCCCACCCTGTGGTGAAGTCAAGCACGTAGCCCGGGTGAAGGCCGAACTTGCCCGCCTGCGTGGTGAACCTGCTCTTGCAGAACACCTCGCCCACAGCTGCCTCCCAGCTGCTGTCCGGAGGCGGACCGCCCCTCGCGACCGAGCAAACGGACTTGATGAACGGGCCAACTGCCGCGCCCATCTGCCGAATATTCGTCTGGATACTACCAAGATCCACGTCGTCCTCGTCTAGACCAGGAACTGGCCTATCCGCGGCGCTGGGGTCCGCGTTACCAAGCGACTCTCCTCTGTCGCCGTCTCGAACCAACACTGGCTCTGACCCGGCCAGCGCAGCCTCAACGCTGCCAGGCCTTAGCGGTGCAGCCGGCCCTGCTGTGGCCGAAGCTGTCACCTCAGAATCGGCTGCCGCTGCTGCCGGTTCCCCTCCTGCGCCTGGCGCAGACTGCCGCGGTGCTCCCCGCGACGGTCTACTAGCAGGCATATTGATGAGCCGCTTCGGCTGCTGCGAATCAGTACCTCCCTGCTCCTTCCTCGGTGCTGTCCGCGGGGCTTCCCGCGAAGGCTCCTCCGTTGTGCTGTCTGGCCCCAAAACCTCTCCTGGCTCCAGGGTTTCCCCTGGCGCTGCTCGCGCCCCCGGGGCGCCTGCTGCCTCTCCGTGCGCCTCTGCCTCCTCCAGAGGAGCGCCAAGCTCGGTATCTTGAGCCATGGCGCCTTCGATCCTTTTCCTGCACTCTTGTGTGTGCGCCCTCGGCTTGTGACCAAAAACTGTTGCTGGGCATCCTTGGCGCCCGTCTGTGCACCCAAAACGGGCAAGTTTTATATCTCTTCGGATGTATACGCGCCTCGGGACCCAAAGTGCCGCTGGTGGTTGTGGCAAGTGTGGTGGTAATTCCGACTCAGGCACGACTGGTTCCGTCGCTGCCATCGCGGGTGCGCCCCCCGGCCCCTCCGTGTCGACACCCTCGGAGTGGCTCCACGGACACCCCTTGATGGCCTTCGCCAGCTCAGGGTCTCTAGCTTGGACCGGCGCCAATCTCTTGACGCAGTTCACCTTCCGGACACCCTGTGGCGTCCCGATCAAGACCATGTTTGAGCGCTCTACCAGTCCAAGGTGGACTCCCGTCTCCCATCAGACTTCGAATTTGCGCTTCTGCCGCTTCTCTGCTACTCTCAGAAACATCACTGCTTCTGGAAAGGCTGGAAGTTTGCGACGGTATGGCATGCCTTTCCTCAGCTCGTACGCGGTACGGCCATCTTTCAGAGCCTTTTGACCTCTGTTGATGACCTGTGAGGCGTACTCCACTGCCCAGACACGGACAGGATGAGCCAAAGGAAGTTTTACTCCGTGAGACTCCTGGGCCGCATGGACCAGAGTCCGGGTTTTGGACTCTACCTCCCAGACGGCCGTCTCCCCCGCACCATTTTGTTGAGACTCCCCGGTCCCGCTCTCCTCCATCTTAACTGTGATGGCCTCCCCACATTTGGGTCGAAGTTCTTTGGCGGCTGCTGTCTTGAGCGCCTTGATGGCGATTTCGCCGTCTGACTTGTAGATGAAGTGCTGCAAACCACTCTGTTCCAGGTCGTGCGCCGTGACTTTGACGGCCCGGTCATCTACTCCTCCGCGCCTTACAACATGTGACGTCAACCACGTATCCTGGAAAAACTTATGTACAATTATAGGTAAACATCGATCGCACATCCTCTCCTCCTCCACCGACTCTCCCATGAAACAGTAATCACAAAAGACACAAGGATTTTTTTCAGATCGTCGTTCTCCCGCCTGAAATGACTGTCTGCCTTCCCGCAACCAGCCACGCGCGATCTACGCCAACTCTGGTAAGGACAATGATCAACATTATGCCTTGCAATCTCCTCCGCCGAAGGAAGACTTGGGGAGGGGAGAGCTCGAATGAACCCGCCTCCAGCGTTGGCCATGTGAGACTGGAGATGAGCGCTGCCATCCCCTCCTTGGCCCGCGGGGCTGCCCGCTGGCGCCCTCGGCCCTGCGGCCGGCGCAGGTGCGCTCGCGGGGCCGTCCGCCGAGCCACCTGGTGAAACAGACTGTGAAACATGAGGCCCCGCTGCTAGTGCTGCCGGAGGGGCCGCGGAGCTACCTGCGACCGTTGGAGCACTGGAGCTTGCCTCCTCCGCGGGACTCACGGCCAGACCAGCCCGTCTCAGTTTGACGGCAGGATGACTCTTGCGTCGAGCTCATAACTGCCCCCTTCTACGATGCATCTCCAAGACTGCGCCCGACTCCCTGTGACGAGCCCACCGGCGACCGTCGACGAAAAAAAACATCGTGACCATGATCTTCTAAATCACACAGTGCTAACAAAGCTTTGCGGACTGGGACGATGTGAACATTAGCGTGCCTGCGAAAACCACCAATATCTAACTCGTACACCCTCTTCCCGAGGTTCGGCAAGGACGGCGCGACGGTGCCCCCAGGGCCGTAGTACTTCACGCCGCGGCGGGACTCTGGAGAGTCCTTGGTTGGGACTTCTGGGGCCAGCTCTGGGGGCCAGACGGTTATCTCCGCGCCGCTGTCGAGACCTATCGTAACCCGCTGTCAAGTACGACGCAGCAGAAACCTCGCTAGCCTCGATTGCCGAGGCCCCGAGACCCCCCACCTCCGAAGACCCCGCCGCTCCGGATGACGACCCAGAAAGGCCTTGCACCTGCAGCGAGAGCGCCGCCAGCTGCTGTTCGAGATAGGAAATCTCTGCTCGAGTGCGTTTCTTGCTCGGCTCCCCGGTGCCTGTCCTAGTTGCTCCTGCGGCGTCCGCGTGCTTCTTGTGGCAGTCTGCGGCCTTGTGGCCTGGTTTGCCGCAGTAGTCGCAGTTTCCCGAAAAGTTCCCAGCAAAACGCTTGGCTGCCGCCTTCGGTTTTGCCTTCCCAACTGGTTTCGCCTTGGCCTCGGCTGCCGGGCTGCTCCGGCACTCGCTGGCCCTGTGGCCGGTTTTGCCGCAAGCCCAACAGTCGCCCTGAAACTTGATGGTAAGCTGCAACTTACCGTCGCCGCCCTTCCCGCCAGCCTGTCCTCGTCCGCCTCCATTCGGGCCCCCTTTATCAAGAACGTGCAGACCGCCCGCAGACCGCCCGAGAAACCGGTTCGCGCCGACGATTTCCCGCAACTCTTGCTTGATCTGCTCGTGCGTCTCGATCTGATTGCAGTTCAGAACGAGATGTTTCGACAGATCCCGCTGGTCTGCGTCTCTGTTCGCTAACGCGCGGAGAATCACGCCAGCCTTCGTTTCGTTGTCTACGGTCTTCCCGGACCCATCTTCGTACCTCTTGACTAAGTCTTCAAACTTGTCTAAGACTACCCAGACGTCAGCGTCCTCGGCGGCGTAGCCGAGAACGGCCTGGTGCTGCACCATCCGCCGGCTCTTGAACTGCTTCGGCTCGTAGTCCTGCGCCAGGGGCCTCCACGGCTTCAGCCCTTCCCCCTCGTTCACCTTCTTGACCTTTAGCAACGCGTTGCCCTCCGCCATCAGAGTGGTGATGTAGTGCAGCTGCTTGTCCAGGGCGTCGTCGCCCCGGGCTAAGTCTCCGCGCTTTATGGGCTGCTGCAAGTCCTCAGCGCGCCGAAGCAGGGACTGCATCCTCGGCGAGATGGCCCCCGCGCATGCGCGGAACACGAGGCTGAACAGAGCCCAGTCGGACTCTTTTCCGCTGAACATCCCGGGTTTGTTTAGGACCCGGGTGTCCGCGGTGCCGGCGGCCAGCCGGCGCGCCTTGTCGTCTGGCGCCCTCCTCTCGGTCTGCGCCGCGCTGCTTGCGCTGGCCCGAGAGGCCTCTGCTGAGGCGAGGTCCGCCCGCAGCTGCTGGTTCTCTGCGCTCGCTGCTTGGAGCTGAGCCTCCATAGCCGTGAGCCTCGCCAGAACCTCCTCCATCGCCATCTCCGTAGGCGGTGGGCCAGCCGTGCGTCAAGTAGTGCTCGAAAGCGTCGTCGTTCCCAGCGGCGACCTTTAGCGCGCGAAAAAGAGCGCTGGCTCGCGCCTTCGGGTCGTTCCAGCGTTCGCACTGCTCTATGGCCTCCGTGCGGAGATCCTTAGGCACTTGGTCAATGAGCTCTCTCACCCACTTGTGGTAGAAGGTCGTTTCCTCCTCCGTGAGCTCCTCGCCGCTGTCTACCTTCTTGAGAACGCAGCCTTTGAACTCCCTTCTGTAGGAAGCCTCCTGCGTGCGACGCTCTCCCCTGGAGCGTTGGCCGCGGCTCCTCTTCTTAGCCGCGTGGCTGGCCGTCTCTGGTCGCACCGAGGCCTGCGAGGGGAACTGTTCCGAGATCCGCCTGTGCGCTGCGAGGTTTCTCGAAGCCTGTCCGAAGCCCGGGCCTAAAGCCGAGAACTCCCTGGGCCCCCCGCGGCGCTGGCGGCCGAGGCCGCCCTGCAAGGGGCGCAGGTGGCGGCAGCGGTGGCGGCAACCTGGCCGCGGGGCTGACCGCGACCAAGGTGGCGGAGTAGGCGCCCGCTGCTGGCGCCAAGGTGGCGCCCGCGGGTCCGACCGCGAAATCGCTGCCGTTGATCGCAGAGCTGAGCTCTCAGAGCTCCGCTGCCATGATGAAGAAAAATCCCTTTTTCCTCGAAGCTGAAACGGCTATTGCGCAAAGCAAAGAGGAAGAGTAAGAGAAATAATCTATAATAAAGAAAAGTAAAGGGCATAGATGGGGAGTAACTTCAACGCGCGGTGCTGCTGGTGAGGCCATCCCTGGTCGCAGCAGCACCTCAGCACGGGGATCGTTTTCGTTGACCTCGCGAGGTGAACCGCCGATGACGTTGCGGAGGCGGGGCCCGTCGTCGTCGTCTTCGCCGGCGTCGGCGCGTCGTGCCGCCCCGTCCAGGGGCCCATAAATTGTTTTGGCCAGGTCCCTGGGGCGCGCGGGGCCCCGCCCGTCCGGCACTCCCCACTCGTGGGGGAGGCGCCGGTCGCAGCGGGTCTTTCCGCCTGCCCGTGGGGCTCGGTCGCCTGCCGAGGTTTCTGTCCACGCCTCGGCATTGCTCTGCTGCGGCCAGTAGATTGTTGGGCTACCCCCCCGGCTATGTAATCCTTCCCGCTCCACGTGCTCCAAATTCTACCCTTGACAAGGCAGCCCTCCCCGTGTGCTACCCCTGACCCAGGTAATCAATTCTTTTCTCCGACGCCCTGCCCTAACCCTGGCAGCCCTCCCCGCGTGCTACCCCTAACCCGGGCAGCCAAGTCGCCCTCCGCACGTGCTACCCCTGACCCGGGCGGCCAACGTCCCTCCGCTCGACCTATCCATTCCCGCCCCGCTCTCCCGCTCCGCCACCTGGCCCCGCCTTGGCGCGCAAGTCGTTGCTGGGCTACCCCCAGGCCGCTAATCGAGCTGACCTCCGCGCGTGCTACCCCTAACCAAGGAAGCCAACTCGTCCCTCCGCATGTGCTGCCCCTAACCTAGCCAACCTTCCCCGCGTGCCACCCCTAACCCGGGGGGCCAATTCGCCCCTCCGCGCGGGCTACCCCTAACCCGGGCTGCCAATTCGACCCACCGCGCAGCCTCACTATTGCCACCCGGGGCCACCGCGGGGCAAGACCCCGCCATGGCGCCATGCCGCAGTTGCGTGGGCCCGGCATGCCAGCCCGCAGTGTCAACAATTGGACCCCTCCAAATAAATGGAAAATCTTGGCCGCGTTGCCCACCTAAAATTAAGAAGGGGGTCGTCTGTTTCACTATGTTGATGTGCTCTTTTCCGCGCGCGCCCCCCTCCCACGCCGAAGGCCAGTCCAACCCTTCCTTCCCAAAAGGCCGTCCTCCACCGCGATCCTGCGGGAACGTTGCTTGAAGTGATAACCTGCGCAGCCCTCCGTGTGAGGGGGGGTGGGGTGGGGTGGTGTGTGTGTGTGTGTGTGTGTGTGTGTGTGTGTGTGTGTGTGTGTGTGTGTGTGTGTGTGTGTGTGTGTGTGTGTGTGTGTGTGTGTGTGTGTGTGTGTGTGTGTGTGTGTGTGTGTGTGTGTGTGGGGGCCTTCTCCGATAGGGCAGGAGAAGGAAGCCTAACGGCAGCCGCTCCTGCCACCCGCGCCGTGGCTTGTCAGCTTCCGCGCGCGGGAGAGAAGCAAACTCGCCATCGTAGCATTACTTCATAACGGCTGGTCCTAACATTTATGACGGCGCTAGCCCCCCAAATAATGAGGAGTAAGGGGGGCCTTGTGTGGTCATCGGCACTCGTGCTGGGGGGGGGGGGGGGGGGGGGGGGCGGGGGCGAGGGTGTCTGCCCATGTCGGGGAGGAGGCGGGGGGGGGGGAGGAGGGGGGAGGGGGAAAGGAGGAGGGCGAGGAAGAGGAGGAGGAAGGAGGAGGGGGAGGAGGGGGAGGAGGAGGGAGGGAGGAGAGGAGAGGAGGAGGAGGAGGAGGGAGAGGAGGAGGAGGGGGAGGGGGAGGAGGAGGAGGAGGAGGAGGAGGAGGAGGAGAGAGGAGAGGAGGAGGAGAGGAGGAGAGGAGGGAGGAGGAGGGGGGAGGAGGAGGAGGAGGAGGAGGGGGGGGGGGGCGGAGGGCGGAGGAGGCGTGGAACTTTGGCCTCTTCTCCGTGCTACTCCTAACCCGGGCAGCCGTGTCATCCCTCCGCACGTCCCGCCCCTAACCCAGGCAGAGTTCCCTGCTGACACGTCGCGCCGCGGAGGCTAGGACCAGCAGTGACAAGGGGAAATCTCCAGCGAATTCGACCCCGCAGGGGAAGGGCGCCCCAGAGCCTAGCCCTCCACGCCATCAGTTGAAGCCAAGGAACCACCACAGTCCACTGCAATGGTTAGACCAGCAAGAGGCACCATTTCGTCAAGCGGCACATCCCCTCTCAGGTGGTTGGGATGGATGCCTCTGCGGATTCAGCTAATCCACGAAAAGCGCCCCCAGAAGAATCTGGAAACATGAGGGGGCGCTTTTGTCTCTCCCCTGTGATTTCCCTGCCGATGCAGCAGGGGTGGGCCGCTGTAGTTCACCTGCCGACGCAGGGGCAGCTTTCGAGGCATGCCCGGAGGCGCCCCGATGCGCACCCCTAACCGTCCCAGCGGCAGTCCCTCGCGCGGCGCGCGCGGCGCGGCGGAGGAGGGGGGGGGCCGAGCCAGCCGCCGTGGTTCACCCGACAATCAGGGGCTTCGCAGGGACGCGCCCGAAGGCGACGCTGCCGCCAGAACTGGCCAGGCCGAGAGAGTGCCGCGCCCACGCGGCGCGTGCAGGCCCGACTAAGGCCCCCTCAAACCTCGACGCCATTTCCTTGGAGGCAGGACGTGGCCAGCGGGTGGATGGTCTCCAACGCGGACCTCTTGAGCTCGGCGAGCTCGGGACCGAGCTTCACTTCGAACTCTCTTGTCCGGCAGTTGACCTTGTCGAGATCTGCTGTGGGCTCGGCCTTCTGCTCCTTCAAGTAGTAGATGACCGGGTCGAAGTCTGTCGTGGTGGCGGCCTCTGCATCATCATCTCTTCGCGGACCAACCCGAGATATTCGATGGGCGCCTTGCCGCTCAGCTGCGCAAGTCGTGAAGCTGTTGATGCTTTCAAGATCTGTTTTGTTTGCGGCCATCTGCTCCTTCAGCTCGCCGTAGACAGGGTCGAGGTCAATCTTGATGGCGGCCGTTTGCAACTTGAGGTCGGCGCGGACCTGCTCGAGAAGCTGCTCCAGGATGTAGCTGTTGATATTGCCAAGGTCTGCTTAATGTGCGGCCATCAGCTCCTTCAGCTCGCTGTGGACCGAGTTGGCCGTCTGCAACTTGAGGTCGGCGCGGACCTGTTCGAGAAGCTGCTCCATGTTGGGGCGGTTGGTAATGCCAAGATCTGCTTAATGTGCGGCCATGTGCTCCTTCAACTCGCTGTGGACCGAGTCGGTCGTCTGCAACTTGAGGTCGGCGCGGACCCGTTCGAGAAGCTGCTCCATGTTGGGGCGGTAGATTTTGTCAAAGTCGGCCTTGTGGGCGGCCATCTGCTCCGCCAGCTAGCGGCAGACCTGGTCGAGGTCTGTTTTGGCGGCGGCCATAAACATCTTCACCTCGTCATGGATCTGCATACCAAGTCGTTGACATCTCATTTTGGCCTGCGAGCCTCTCAAGCTGGGGCACTCACAGCATGAACTCTCCAGCGGCGGCTCGATCTGAGACCGATGGGCACCAGCTTGCCCTCGTCGTTCTTATTCTGGAGCTCCTCCATGGACTCCAGATTCTCTGGGGCGGCCTCGAAGTCCCCGATGAAGAAGCTCTGGTCGGAGCAGGTGTTAACCCTGACCGTGGAAACCAATTCGTCCCTCCGCACGTGCTACCCCTAACCTGGGCAACCTGCCCCGCGTGCTACCCCTGACCACGGAAGCCAATTCGTCCCTCCGCACGGGCTGCCCCTTACCCCGGCAGCCAAGTCGACCCACCGCGCAACCTCATTATTGTCACCCGGGGCCACCACGGGGTAAGACCCCGGCATGCCGCCATGCTGCAGGGCAAGCTTCGAATAAGTACATGGGAGGGACATGTAGGTAGAGCCCACTGTACGCGCAAAGCCTGCCGTCAGCAGCATCGTGGCCTTCCGTGCTTCCCCTAATGCGGGCAGCCATTTCGTACCGATCTTGTGGGGGCTGCTAGCCAAGGCGAGCCCTCGCTAGCAACCCCTACTAATAGGCTGCCAATGGGGGTGCAACCCAACCAGACCTGGCAGTTTGGTCAGTGATCCTCCTCCGCCACCGCCACCGCCTCCGCCTCCGCCTCCGCGTCCTCTTCCTCTTCCTCCTCCTCCTCCTCCTCCTCCTCCTCCTTCTCGTCCTCCTCCCATCTCTGCTTCGGTTACGCACGCGGTGGTCAGCTCAAGAGGATGAGGAATCCGCCGACCCCTTGGGGATCATCGGCGTGTGAGATGCTTCCCCCTCCCCAAACCCCTCCCCCGGGAGCCCGGTCCGGTCGATTTGGAGGGGGGGGGGGTCCGGCACGAGCGCAGCACGGCCGGGACGAGCGGTTCACGGGGCTTTTCCGGGCCCAAGAGGGCCTCAAGACGGGCCAAGAAGCCCCCAAGAGGCCTCCAAGACGGCCCACGAAGGCCCCGAGACGCCAAACGACCGCTCCAAGACGCCCAATATGGCCCCAAGACGGGCCAAGAGGTCTCCAAGACGGCCCCCGAGGTCCCAAACAAGCCTCCCAAGAGGGCCCCAAGAGTCTAAAATTGTTGAATTTCCATCGTGTTTTTCGATGTTTCTTGCTTTTCCGCCTTTTCGGCTTCCCGACGCTCCAAGACGGCCAAAGAGGCCCCAAAGACAGCCCCAAGATGGCCCAAGAGGCCCCCAAGACGGCCTCCAGACGGCCCAAGACGGCCCCAACACGGCCCAAGAGGTCCCCAAGACGGCCCAAGAGGGCTCCAAGACGGCACCAAGAGGGGCCCAAGAGGGCGACCAAACATGTTGAAACTCTAGCTTTCTGCCCCCAGGAGCCCCAGGGGGCCCCAAGAGTGCCCCAAGAGGCCCCCAGAGGCCCTCACGAGGCCGCCCAGACGCCCCAAGGAACCCCCAAGAAGCACCCCAGAGGCTCCGAAACGGCCCCCAAGTGGCTCCAAAACTCGCGGTGTCGCCGTCCGCTCGGACCCCCCCGCGGAACTGCCCGAGACCCTCTGGCGGTGGCGGCGAACAGACACCAAACAAATATCACTCGCCTTTTCACCCCTTCGCAGCTTCTACTACCCCCAGATTGGCATAAACAAGGGGTCGGCGGTGTGGCGTAAGCCTAAGAATCAATGCGCCCCCGACGCGCAAAGTAGCCGCCTCGGGGGCCAACCCCAGGCTCCACGTGGCTCGCTCCAGAGGCCCTGGATCCAAAGAGGTGGTTTGCACCTCTTGGGCGGCCGAATTTATTTTGCTTCCGCCAGCAGAGCTGCCCTCGTCTTACTTCCGCCGAGGAGAAGATGTCAACCGACTTCTCGAGCACCCGACGGTGAGAACCTGTTTGGAACGACCCACATGGCGGGACAATGCCGGCAAGGTGGTGAAGGATCTGCCCCGCGACTGGAACCTCAAAATAAGCCGCCAGCGGACCGACCCGAGGCCCTTCCCTCCGCCTCCCTCTCAGTTTTTTCGAGCCCCTCGGCGCGATCTGGCCGCTGGCGTGCCCCGCCTTCCTCCTCTCCGCTCCTCTCACAGCTTCCTCTTGCCCATCTCCCGTCTCCCCTCTCACGTCCCCCTTCTCTTCTCTCATCTCCCCCCTCTGCCCTCGCGAGACTCCGCCAGACAGTGGCGAATCTTTGCTCTCGGCGCCATCTGTGGCCAACAAGCCCCCCCGATCCACACGGCCCGCCCGCGCACGAACGCCATACCGAGGACAGAGTTTTGCTCTGCCTCCGGCCATTCGGAAAGTCTGCTCGATCAATTCCTGGAACCACCCTTCTCCTCCTCAATCTCCTCCTTCTCCTCTTCCTCCTCCTCCTCCTCCTCTTCCTCTCCCTCCTCCTCCTCTTCCGTCCACGCCCCGAAGAATTGTCCAAAAGAGTGCGGCCAATCTGGGTCGTGACGGCCTGGGCATTGGCTTCTGACGTCGCGTGCATCGCGCCACCTTGAACGGTCGCAGCTTTCCGATAGCGCGAATCTTTCGACCTCGGCCACCTCGGAGCCCCCGGCTACACTCAGCTTTGAACGCCTGCGCTGGGGCACCGCCGCGTCGACGCAGCTAGAGCATACCGTGAGCGCAAGGACAAAAAGACCAGCAAGCTGGCAAGGCAAGACTTGCGCACGTGGGCGGGTGGCTCCTTCAACACCCGCGGCCGCCCCCACGACTCGTGCGGCCCGCCAGAGCCGCCGTCAGGGGGCGGACCCGCCCTTGCGAAATGCTGCACCTGGTGGCAGGAAAGACAGGGGTGCGTGGGAGGGGGTGAAGGGGAGCCGGGAGTTGAAGATGAATATGAAGATGAGAAGGACGGCTAGGAGACGAGATAATAATAGCAACAGCAAGCAGGAGTACGTGGGAGGAAGACAATGAAGAAGAAGCGATATGGAGAATGACTTGGAGGCGGAAAAGACGGGCGAGGGCGACTAGTAGTAGTAGTAGTAGTAGTAGTAGTAGTAGTAGTAGTAGTAGTAGTAGTAGTCGTCGTAGTCGTCGTAGTAATAATAGCCGTCGTAGTCGCAGTAGTAGTAGTAATATCAGTAGTAATAGTAGTAGTAGTAGTAGTAGTAGTAGTAGTAGTAGAAGAAGTAGTAGTAGTAGTAGTAGTAGTAGTAGTAGTAGTAGTATCAGTAGTAGTAGAAATATTAGTAGTCGTAGCAATAGTAGTACTAGTAGTAGTAGTAGTAGTAGTAGTAGTAGTAGTAGTAGTAGTAGTAGTAGTAGTAGTAGTAGTAGTAGTAGTAGTAGTAGTAGTAGTAGTAGTAGTAGTAGTGAAGTAGTAGTAGTAGTAGTAGTAGTAGTAGTAGTAGTAGTAGTAGTAGTAGTAGTAGTAGTAGTAGTAGTAGTATAGTAGTATAGTAGTATAGTAGTATAGTAGTATAGTAGTATAGTAGTATAGTAGTATAGTAGTATAGTAGTATAGTAGTATAGTAGTATAGTAGTATAGTAGTATAGTAGTATAGTA